CTGGGAGAGGAAAAGTCATGTCCATGGGAATGTCTCTGTGGTTTTCAATATTAACAAGAAATTAAGGGATCTGAGAAATTAGACATGTTTATTAACAAAACTCAGGGCTAAGAAGAGAGAAGTGGGTCTAAATCTTTCACTGAATAGTAGTCTCATAGGTTTTCTGGCTTATATATTCAGATATTAAGGCACAAAAGAAGGAATGACCTATATAGCCTTGGTAAAAAAAAACGTTACCAATTTGGATTAACATTTAAATTTCTTGTACATATAAAATGATTCAGATGTTCCTTTGTGTTATATATCCCGCAGTCTGAAAGTTAAATCACTCTATCCCATATTTCCTGCTAGAAAAAGAATTATCTAGGGCCTCCCCGGTGGCGCAGCAGTTGAGCGCTGGGTTGTGAAGCTGCCCGCCGCCTCCGCGGCACCGGTTCGATCCCCGGCTGCTCCCCGGCCACCGGAGGAGGGTCCCACATGGAGCGCAGACCTCTCCTGCCGCCCGCTGCTCCCCTCAGCAGTGTACTTTGGTCCTTCTGCCTGCTCTGCTCCCCGCTCTGGCTCTGGTGAATTCTCTCACCCTCCCGCGCTTCTGACTGTACCCAGTGCTTGTATAAACAAAAAAAAACAAAGAAACAAATAAATAAAATAAATAAAACATGCCTCTATAAAAAAAAAAAGATTTGATGAACATTAAAAAAAAAAAGAATTATCTAAACTTGTGGGGATTTTTATCTTTCCATCTATGTCACAGTGTAGATGACTTAGTAAAGTTTCTATTTGTTGAAATGTGTTCTAAGAATTTTAATCCAATCACATAAAAGTATCCTGTACACCTGTGATGAAATCATAAATCACAAAAGATATTTACCCCCAAATTCATACTAACCTCAGGAACATACTCATGGCTATAGTTTGAGACACAGAAACAGAAATGTAGAATCCTAATATAGGATTCAGTAATATGTCTAATTTCCTAATACAAAAAAGCAAAGAATATGAGATAGGAGACAGTAACTAGGACTGCCCCCACCCCAGGAAAACAATATAACCAGTAATTTTGCCTTCCTTAAAGACTTCATAATTTAGTATGTAGCATTTGGGTAAAGACATTATAAAAGATGATGTGAACAAATGTGATATTCTAATAGAAATTTTATTTTTCTTGTTCTTTTTTGTTAGGTTTAATTTTGTTAATTTTCTTTTCCCATTCATTACAGAGTCTAACATTAATTATCCAGTTTTTTAATTTTTTTAATTTTATTTATATCTTTTTTTTAAAGATTTATTTTATCTATACAAGAACCGGAGTACAGGCCAGATGAGCGGGAGGGTGAGAGGATTTGCCAGAGACAGAGAGGGAAACAGAACAGGCAGACTGACGAAATACACTGCTGAGGGGAGCAGCAGGTGAGACAGGAGAGGTCTGCTCGCCATGTGGGTTGCTCCAAGGCCGGCAAGGATTGAACCGGCACTGCAGAGGCTGCGGGCAGCTTCACAGCGCTGTGCACAACTGCCTGCGCCACTGGGGAGGCCTCATATTTATATCTTTTACATCATTGTGTATTCCCTGTAAAATTTCTACCACCAGTGCACCCATGAACATTTACCATAATCCCTTGTGTTCTTCTTTCCCCTGTTTTGATCCCTATCCCCACTCCCTCACAGAATGTCCCTTATTTATGGTTGCCTGCTAGTTTTGTTGTTTTATTTCTAATAGAAAATTTATTATTGAAAACTTACTTAGGCTTTATGCATCTGTGTTACTTAATCTTCATATAAACCCTATCAGAAAGACTCTATAAATTCAATCATATTAAAAAAAAATTAATTCTGAGAGGTCAAGTAACTTGCCTATAGAAACACAATAATACAGTAACTGATCTGAACACAAATCAGAAACTTGCCAAACTACCTTTTATGTTCATTATCACAAAAGAAGGATCCATCAATCAAAATAAATGTATAGCAAATGATAGAGTTTCAGGGATTAGCAATAGTCTAGGGGAGTCAGTTTATATGCACTGAGAGGTAGAAAGTAGCAAGATTAGGACAGGCTTAAAACAAAGGGCAGAGAAGTCTTCTCCACCAGCAATGGGGAGCTGCACTTCCATATGTCACTGAACCTGAGGAGCCAAGTGAGAGCATGTGTGGAACACACCTCACTGGGCTAACCCAATAGGTTCATTGAGATCCTAATGGCTATAAACATTAATAAGCAACTCCTGTTACAAACTTGCTAGACAGTCTCAAAAGCAATTTATATCTCATTTTATTTGGAAGAATCTTACCTACTGACGGAATTATTGTCATTTGGCTGATTAATGTTTCTTCAAAAAAGTATTTTTTTAAACCAAATCAATTCACAGGAGCATATGAAATGAAAAAAACTCCATTTTTAATGGAATGCCATTTTTATTGAGATCATTTCAATAACTTAGTACTGTTAGCTACTGAAAGTACTACTATAAACTATCTTGGCACAAAATATGCAGAAGCCTAATGCATCGTAATCTAAATTGGTTCTGTCTGAATTCAACCACAAATGACTTGTCTGTGATTTTTTTTAATGTTTTGTTTCAAGACACATTTTTTTACAATTCTGAAGACCTGATCTGGGCAGCTTTGAAGAAGGAAAAAATAAAGGTATCCTCATACTGCATTAAACCCTTTTGATCCAGAAAGCATCCAACTGATAGAAAATTTGTTTCATGTCAGTCATAGCCAATTTTCATACTAAATCACAACTTGCTGAAAGAAATCTGCTTTCTTGGAGATACTTTCAGACTCTTAATGTTGTTGAACTAGTACCAGCTCTCTCCTATACTTATACTTATGAGTGTACTCACATTTATTCTTAGCTGATTAAATCTGAAGATATCGAGCAGTCCTTGCTGTGAAAACATTACCTAAAGCTTGTTTTATGATAAGTGCCAGTAGATTCATCATTCATTCATAACTAATCAAAAAATTATCCAACTATTTATAGTCAAATAATCCCATGACTACAACATAGCAAACAAAGCAAGACACCTGTATGCCCACTAATAAGATCTGGAGAAAGAGTAATCCAAATATACACCATAAGCAAAACTCATTTCATTTCGTCTATATTTTCTTTTTGCAAAATCTGCAGATCTAAATTGCTCTGAAATTCCAGGATCCAACCCCATCAGTGTACTCAGAGTTCACCAACAACCCACCTCTGCTGCATCTCTAGAGGCATACAGTTGTATGGGTTGTGCATTGCACAACCCAATTGCATTATACAAGTGATGAAAGTGAATATTTATCATCACAATTTATAAATTGATATTAGCATGAAATGTGTAGGGTTTTTCTATGAAATCAATGTATTTGGACAATCTTTCAAGAAAAAACCATGGCATTTTAGAGCAGAGGCATAGTTTTTTAATTCACACTGAAACACTATATATAAGTGATCTTGTCACAACAGAATTCAATTCTAATAAATCCATTAAATTAGTATGTAAAATTTAACTAATGTGGAAAAGAAGGTGTAGAGATATTTGTTTTTCCCATTGGGAGAACTGGCCATAGAGAAAGGAACGAAGTAACCAAGGATCAGACACCTCCCAGACAAGTGACTTAAATCACTTTTTTTTCTATTTATTACTACCCGTTTACAAACTGAGGAGAGAGGGTTGGAGAGACTTTATCTCCTCAGAGGCTGCTTTTTAAGTTAGGAAAACATATTCAAAAGTATATCCAATAAGTTGGGCCTCCCCGATGGCGCAGCGGTTGAGCGCTGGGTTGCGAAGCTGCCCACAGCCTCTGCAGCGCCAGTTCGATCCCCGGCTGCTCCCCGGCCACCAGAGGAGGGTCCCACATGGCACGCAGACCTCTCCTGCCACCCGCTGCTCCCCTCAGCAGTGTACTTCGGTCCTTCTGCCTGCTTTGCTCCCCATTCTGGCTCTGGTGATTCTCTCACCCTCCTGTGCGTCTGACTGTACCCAGTGCTTGTATAAATAAATAAATCTTTAAAAATAAAAAGTATATCCAATAAGTAGCAAAAATAAAAGCTGCAAAGAAGTCCTTTCATTCCATCTGTATACAGAGAAGACAGAAAAGATAGAAAAGGAAGAACAGAGCATGAAGTAGAGGGAAAAATACAAAGCAAGCCTGAGGTGTGGGGATGGAGACTGGGAAGGAAAAGAAAGACACAAAGAAACCAAATGATATAAGTGTATGCATAAAAAGGAAGGAGAGATGTGTTGAGGAGAGATAACAAAAAAATAATAACAGTTGAAAAGATCAAAGGAAAGATATTGTAAGTCATCAGATACCTGCTTGTTGAAGAGTAAACTGATTTAATTCTGTTACTTACTCTCCACTTATAGAAAGCTATTTTAGCATGCTAGCTGAGCATGAACCATTTATCAGATCTCTCTATCCAGTATCTTGAAACTTTCCCAGATTCTTTTTTCAGCAACTTGCAGAGGTATAGCTATTTTCTTGACCATAGAAGCGGAGAGATCCAGCTGACTTGGTTCAATAAGTTAAACCAAGGCAACAAGAAAAGAGTAAACTAGTTTTCCTGAAAGAACTGGTAGCTTTCAGTACCAATTATATGAGCAATTGTGGACAGACAAAAGACAAAAAGGTTGACACTGATTGTGTCGGTATCACAATATGAAAAAAACACATTCAATGAGGAATAAGTGAAAGCTACCATGCTTAATTGTGGCAAAAATAATCCATTAGTTATTAGATTTAATCAATAATTAAATAATATGTGGTGAACTATTAAGGCACCTCTTGTCTAGATGCTGGAATACATTGCTATAATCAATGTGTGAGTGTTAGGGTTTCTGGAGGCACTGCTCTGAATATGAAATGAATAATCATCATGGTTATTTCATGGATCACTAGGTTGCCTCAATACCCCCACCTAGTACCTCACACACACACACACACACACACACACACACACACACACACAGATTATCTCTGGTGACAATTTATCTCATTTTCCACAGTGCTCCTATATCCCAAAGTGTGGGAAAAACTTTGAAGAATCCATGTCTCTGGTGAATGTTGTCATGGAAAACTTCAGGAAGTACCAACACTTTTCCTGCTATTCTGATCCAGAAGGAAACCAGAGGAGTGTCATCCTGACCAAACTCTACAGTTCCAACGTGCTGTTCCATTCACTCTTCTGGCCAACATGTATGATGGCTGGGGGTGTGGTGATTGTTGCCATGGTGAAACTGACACAGTACCTCTCCCTGCTCTGTGAGAGGATCCAGAGGATCAATAGATAAAGCAAAAGTGGATGAGAATATTTTCTTTAAATCTCAAATACTGTTTTCTTTCATTCTTCACCAAAGAACCTTAAGTTTGTAATGTGCAGTCTGTTATGAGTTCCGTAATATATTCTTATATGTAGAGCAATAATGCAAAAGCTGTCTTATATGCAAATATGTCTCTGTTATTCAGGAGAAGAAATAACTCTTTTGTGTTAGTTGGTTGTTTCCATATTCTTGTTTTGATGCTGGAACTAGTACTTCCTTCCCTCCTTCTGCCAAAATAGGGCTCAGTTATTCATTTGCCACGCTTTGTGGAAGGATGTAGACAATATCATTATGATCGGGTCCAGGTTCTGAGTTGTCAGAGCTCTACAAGATATTCCTGCAATATTTTTCATCATTCATTGTTCTCTAAAGCTGCAGCCAAAAATATTTTTTTTTCTTTTCTTATTCAAAGCTGAGCCCTGTAGCAGGTGAAGGGATTTATTTAGGTTTCCTAACTAGAGGAAATTATGCATTTTCCTTATATTTCTACCATATCACTGTAAAGAAGAGGGAAAATCCAGCCAGCTATTTTTCTTTCATTACAGTTAATTTATAATTTAAACTTTTCTAACTGATTTCCAAAAAAAAAAAGCTGTTTTGTTAACTAATTCTATAATCTCTTCCTGTGACTTAAATACAGAATGAATAGAGCCCTTTTCCATTCAAGACCCTGCTACTGTGTGAGGAGATGACATTTACAAGGAGTTTCATTTCCAATGAACTGACTGAATGTTGAGTAGATATTCCTTAATTGCAGGAAAGTTTGTCGCTAAAATAGTGTGTGAAAGTCTTTATTCCATTTCAACTGAACTATTAGGATGGTAAAATTAAGATCCTACTTGCTGGTCGAGACTAGCTGAATGATTTCAATGAGTAAATCTATTGTGATAAATGAACATGTTATAATATTGCTCTTTGGGAATTTATGTTTTTTCCTACGTGTGTAGTCTCTTTCTGATAAGTGTTCCCTATCAGGGTTTTAAAGCTTTGTGCACAGAGTATGTAACTCCTCTACATGTTTTATTTTTCTATTTACAATTCCCTTTGTTTTTGTTGCTACATTTTATACACAGAATAGATCTTTTTTCCTAACACACACTGACACTGAGTATCAGATTTAAAGGAAGCCTAAGGTCACATGGCCATTTATTTATTGTGTTGGGAGGGGTGGGGGATGAGGGACTTGTTTTAAACAAAAACATTCCATCTTTTATTTAATATCAGTAGCAAAAGGAGAAGACAAACATGTATCTTTCTCATCTATATTTAAGTATCTTTTGTAATGTAGTTTCAAAGTTTTCTAAGTATTGCAAAATTTTACAAATCATACTTGTAGAATGAATGGTGAAACTAATCTGATGAAGTGGAAAGTATTCTGTGATATTGTAATTCATAGTTTGACTTTTCATAAACAAATAAATCCCTAGGGTGTAATTAGGACTTCAAATGTGTAATTAAAATTTTTAAAAATCCATTAAATCAACAAGGTTTGAATGCCTCTTATATTCTAACCTGACAAAGCCATGTAGTCCGTAAATATATGATTCAGTACATTGGTATTAAAAGATACAATAAAGTTCCTTTTTCACTACATGTTAAGAATAAATACATGTTAAGAATATACATACACATTAAGAATATTTGAGAAATATGGAAAACTCTATGCCTGCACTAACTTAAAAACTTTAAAAATAGAAACTCTTGTGGTTATGGAGCTGAAATTGCATAATCTCTAATATTCCTGGATTTTGCTTTAAATGAATCAAGGTAAAATACATTCAAGTGAAATTATTAGATGAGTTTCCCATCCCCTCTGGATTTATAATTTTAAATTCCCAACTGATGTTGCAGATAAAAATATAGAAATCTCAAAATGACACCAAAAAAAAAAATTAGTGCCTCTTCGAATCCCAAAAAAGCAACACCTCTTTTAAGCAAGATCAATGTATATACAAGTAAATGATCATCATTAAAGGGAAAAGAACTGAGATTAATAATAATGCTTTAAATTCTTTGCATGTGTTATTTAATTTACTCTTTATATAACCCTATTGGAGAAAATACTATCATCATTCTATTTTACAGATAAGAAAGTTGAGGTTCAGAGCTGTTACTTCCCCTGGTTACACAGATCTTAAGATGGTAGAGAGCTGAGAAAATGCTCCGCTTCCAGCTTCCTGTTAAAATAATCAATTATACTGCTGGTGGGTGGGGGTCAACACAGAGGGATGCTGAGGTTTGGAAGGGATTATAAGGATGAAGAAGAAAGAGCATTAAAGTCAAAAAATTTATTCAAGACATGGTAACTAGGTGACTTTAGGTTTCCCAATTAGTCTCTTGAATATGTTAACTTCCAAATTAGGATGTGAGGCCAGCTAACCAGTAAGGTCCCTCTTAACACTAACATTATATGCTAGGAATATAGCAAGAGGAATGACAACTGTCTCCAACTTTCTGCATATAGGTTTTCATGTAGAATCTACATGTATCAGTCCATGGATTAAAAACAGCACCCCTACTGATATTCCCATAAGCCATTGCCTCTTCATTAGGGCCCCGAGTTTTCTTTACACCTGCCTGAAGCAGAGCTCTGAGTTTCCATATTATTCAACAAGGATAAGTTCCCCCACTGGTTTTCTGTGCTTCAAAATCACTTTCATTATCAAATTGGCACATCCCATCTAAAACTTTAGTGATTTCATATTCCCTGAGTTGGAATTATATTAAAACCCAGAAAACAGCAGACACATCAATGACTGCTTCCAAATAGCTATAATAAAAAATTGGTGAAACACTGGCTGATAGTAAAGATGGTGCAGGCAAAACAAAATACCTCTTATGTAGACCACATGACACTTAGGCAACCAGAAAATTACTCTTTTCTCATTTCTATGAATGACCCAAAAAGTTATTATACAAGTATTTATATAACAGATATTATTTTCAGTATGTCTAGCCAGAAACATTTTACACATTCCTGTGAGTAAAACATCTCGACACTATAATAATTTCTCTGACATTACCAGAGGCAACAGTTGGACACCAAAATAATATGAGCAATAAATTAAAGTGAGTTAATACAACAATTTTAAGAAGGCATTTGCTATATCACTTGCATAATTAAATTTCTGCATCACCACCACCAGCATGATGTTGACATGAACAATGTTTTAGCAAGTAAGGTAGTTCTTATTGTCCTAGTGGGGTAGAGGAGACAATTAAAGATAGGACATTTTTCCTTTTCTCAGTTTCTATTTTTCTCTCTTTTCCTCATGTAAGGACAATCTAGCAGTTATGCAGCAACAACTCCAATGTTTGTACCACGTGATTCAAAGAACAGTTTTGGGACTCTTGAAAAGGTGTCAACAGGATACACAGCAGACTGGCCAGACAAATTTTAAGTTGAATGTGCACCACCCTCCCACTTTTGCAGGAACTGTAAGGAATAATACAAGTATCCAACACTGCCTATTCTTTTAAGAATGAGTTTGTAATCTACTAGAATGTTTGAGATAGCACACACACACAAAAATCAAGAACAGTTAGGTCTCTAATGCACTAGAGTGGGGATAATATCTACAGAATGTTGTTCCTTGACTTACCAGGATGCATCTGCAAAATGCCTAAGAGTGTCTGTAACATATAATAGATGTTCATCAAATGGTAACTATTATTATTAATAGTAAAATAGTAAGAGTATTGCTATAACCTCTAGTAGAATATAGTCTCTCGGGGATAGGTGTTTCACTCAAAACTCACACCAGTGCATAAATCCTTCTACAGCATCCTTGACAGGAATCCTCTAGTGTTGGGGATATTTACTATTTGAAACCTTCCACAGTTCTAGGCAGTTTTCCTAATAATAACATGAAATCTGCCTCCCTGTAATATTTACTCATTGAACTCACACAAAATCAGAGCAATATTCCTGTCATTGACTTAATCTATTACTGTAGTTTTATGCAAAAATGGAGAAAGTGGGGCCTCCCTGGTGGTGCAAGGGTTAAGCATCAACACTATAAAGCAATCTGCAACTATGGCGGCACGAGTTCCATCTCCAGCCAGGGAGCAACACACAAGGTGCAGCAGAACTCTCCTGTCTCGCCCGCTGCTCCCCTCAGCCGTGTATTTCAGTCAATCCACCTGTTCTGCTCCCCACTCTGTCTCTGGTGAATCCTCTCACACACCCCCACACACACTTCTGGCCCCAGCTCTGTATGCATAAATAAATCTTTTGAAATTTTTTTAAAAATAAATAAAAATAGAGAAAGGAATGAGAGTAAACTTCCATTTTTTCACATTATAAGACCGTGGAAAGAAAAGAACTCATTCAGCCAGAATTATAACAGAGAGGGAAATTTATTAGCGTAGCAAACATGACACCAATTTAAAGGGTTAAGTAAATACCCATTAGAGACTAAACATTCGTGGATGAACAAAATTAATGAGCTAGCTGACCCTTCTGATGTCCTTTTGAATTTTAGTCCTGCACACTCTTGCCCATGATTTGGCTTTTTGAAAGCTAACACTGTCTGAAATTCTACATAATTTTCATATTCAAATGTATGAAAACCAGACTAAGTCATATGACTAAGTAACCAGAATACTTAGAAGCAAGATACGTTCCTAACAAAATGTTGCTATAATTAGGCCATAATTTTATCATGGTTTAGGTGTCATTCTCCTGTGCAATGCCAAAGGAGTAGAAGGAAATGTTCATCTGTGAATTCTAGTAGTCACTTTTGAACAAGTATTTCATGTAAGTATAAATAGGAGTTGTACTCGCAAACAATATAACCATTTAATTAGGGATTCCAGAACTGTTCTTTAGCCTAGTTTTCTAAAACAAATCCATTCCCCAAGTACTTGTAACTTGTAATGTGATTCATTACCAACACAGTATGATATTGGGTCATGGAGAAGCCTTCATTGTCCCCTATACAATCTCACCATCTACTAGTACCATTAGCAGTACCAGAAATTTCTTTAGCTAGAAGACACAACTTCCTTTCATAAATCTCTCTCGCTCACTCTCGATTTCTCTTAGTTCTCTTTCTTCTCTTGGTTATATTCTTAATCTTCATACAACAGCAAAGATGGTCCCCCAAATCAACAAATTCACATTTAAGGAACATTAAATGAATTAAATTCATTTAAGGAGCATGTGAAGAGATGAAGGAGTAGGCTCTCCCTACTCTTTAGGTTTCTCATATAAAATAACATTTAAGGAAATGCCTTCTTCTCATGCCTTGTATCTATGATTAATCACAAAAGGAGAAAACCCAGCATTTATTAGTCCTCACAAATGCCATTCTCTTTGTGTCTCTTGTCCACCACCAGGCCCACCCCTGTAACGATAGGGTCAAGGCATGTTATTTGCAGCCACATTAGGCAGGGGGTCAAAAATTCCCAAAGGAAACTGGTATATGATAAAAAAGAGAGGAAGTGCTGCTAGACAAATAAGATCAACTGATGCCTGCCACAGACAACTGAGACAAACTCATATCAAATTCCTTCAGCACATTTTTGATTGAAGGAGAAAAAGTATGTGTTACTGAGAGGGTAACAGAATAAGAAACAGCACTCAGAATTTACTTCGTAATTTTTCTGACTCCCCTAGTTATCTCATCAAATGTAAATGAAAAAAATTTGATGTTTCACTTAATGAGAGAGATGCAGAAATATTTTAGTTTCAACAGGAGAAAAGTTCCCTTAGAGGTAGAAGATAATGCAATAAGAGAGTTGATAGCAAACAGACCTAGTTCAAAATGAAAGAGAGGAATGATAATATAGGGGAAAAGAACAGGAATTAGAAAATCTTATTTAAGCAACTATGACTACCCATCAGATATTAAAGAATTTGTGTTTTTCTTAAAAGCCTTCTCTTTTGGGATTGATGAATACGGATTTGGCCTTGCACAGAATCAACTGCCTCATTTACCACTTATTTTGGAGTAGATTCATTTAAGGAGCATGTGAAGAGATGAAGGGGTGGGCTCTCCCTACTCCTTAGGTTTCTCACATAAAATAACATTTAAGGAAATGACATCTTCTCATGCCATGCAGTGAGAGATCTTGTCACAAGGAAGTCAAGAGGAGCAACCTCACCCTCTGCAATCTCACCCACCATCTGCAACAATATCGTGATTTCAACATTTCAGCTTCTATATAATACCCTCCACTAAGGTCTGCCCAAACTCATCAGCCTCCTCTAGTTGGAGAGTCATCAAGTTCAGCCCTTTCATTTGCTGCATTAAAATTCCAGCAGCTACAAACCCTGACACTTAGCTTCTTCCTGTGGTGAGCAAACACGGCAGGTCATCCCTGCACTGTCCTTGAACATGACAGAAGTATCATTTTGGAACAATTAACAGTGTCTGTCTCTAATCAAAAGCACTCAGCTGCTGGCACTAACATCTACAAATACTGAGAAGTAAGCACAGAGGTCATACTGGGGACTCACACTGCATGT